GCTTTGAACGGGGCATTAGCAAAAAAAAAAAAAAAGCAACTTAAGATAACGGAGGAAAATTATGTCAAAGTTTCTTCAAGGAGGCTTCCTCCCCGTCTCCTTTTTCCTTGTTTGAAATGTCCTTCCGTGATTTAATCCTAAGTGAAACAAATGCGTGATTAGCATCTAGTGGGATTTAAAAACGATTGCTCAGGCTCAGAGCTGCTCCAGATGTTACCTGTAACAAACTGAAGATAAAGGGAATTTAAAGTACTTGGCCCCTTTAAATTCTCTTTTCCTTTTTGAGTCCCCGTCCCCCCCCAGGGGGGAAGAAAAATCAGGATTTATGGCATGCGTTCCTCTTTCCAGAAAGAAAAACAAAAATGACATCCCATCATTTAGGAACTATTTCTGCAGTCCTGGTAGATTCAGAAGCTATGATCCATCGGGAGACAAACCTTGGGTCAGATTTTTGCAATCTTAAGCAAAAGGGTGGGGAAGAATGTGAGACTCCTCTACAAAAAAATCTGCTCTCACAGACAAATTAGGCATAAAGTTGTTTTTGGGTTGCCGTTTCTAGTCTGTTCTTCTTTCCGCGGCCAGATTAATATACCTCCTCCCATTTAATTCCTGCAAGAACTTCCAAGGCTATGTAATGGCATGGTTAGGAATAATCTTGGGAGACAAACTGATAAGGAACCGGTCAGATAAGAGATGGCATAGCCCATGGCTACATAATGGGTGGGAAAAGAGACTTAGAAGAGACCTTCCCTAGTTTCTTGGGATGTAAAAGAGAGGGCTGTAATGATATGTGAGAAAGACCTTGGGAGTTGGAGTAGAAAAGGAAAGAAGAGAGGCTGCCTACGGAGCAGTTAGATAAGAGCCGGCATAGCCCACAGCTGCATAATGGGTGGGGAAAGAGACTTAGAAGGAACCCTCCCTAGTTTCTTGGGCTGTAAAGGAGGTGGCTATAATGGTATGTGAGAAAGACCTTGGGAGTTGGAGTAGAAAAGGAAAGAAGAGAGGCTGCCTACAGAGCAGTTAGATAAGAGCCGGCATAGCCCACAGCTGCATAATGGGTGGGGGAAGAGACTCAGAAAGGACCCTCCCAGGGGTGGGATCCGACAGGGTTAACAACCAGTTCGGTCATTTACAAGGTTCAGTGATTTACAATGTGCTTCCTGTAAATCGTCATCAGCACGCTGCGTGCAGAGAAGCAGCCTTTCAAAAAGCCCTCTTTTCCTGCTTTTTTTAACTGCAGCTGTGCCTCGGATGGCAGCTGAAGTTGAAAAAATCAGGCAATAAAGGTCAGGTAAGAGCCCGGGTGGGTGGGTGGGCAAAAACATCAGCAGAGATAGAACCGGTTCGATGTCTGCTGCTCTTCAGAGCTACCAGTTCTACAGAGGTAGACAGAACCGGTAGAAACCCATCCCTGGACCCTCCCTAGTTTATTAGGATGTAAAGCAGAGGGCTGTAATGGTATGCGGGGAAAAGACCTTGGGAGACGAGGTGATGAAATTCTGCAAAGGGAATATTTAGATAATGGACAGCATAGCCCTCAGCTTCCTAATGAGTGGGGGAAGAGAATCAAGAAGGGACCCTCCCTAGTTTCTCTGGCTGTAAAGGAGGCGGCTATAATGCAGTGGTGGGTTCCAAACCTGTTTCCTACTGGTTCGATGCGAGCGCACGCGCAGCGTTTGCAACTCACCTTCTGCTGCAAGCTCTGTGTGTAAAACAGCTGCTTTGAGCGGTAATCGGCTGTGCCACGCAAAGCCGCTGAGGTTGAAAAGCAGGAAATAAAGGTCAGTATAGTCGGGGCGGGTGGGAGGGATGATCGTCAGAGCAACCGGTTCGGCCAAACCAAGCTGAACCGGTAAAATACCACCATTGCTATAATGGTGTGTGGGAAAGACCTTGGGAGTCAGGGGAAAGAGATGCTGCCTAAGGAATATTTAGATAATGGACAGCATAGCCTTCAGTTTCCTAATGGGTGGAGAAAGAGACTCAAGAAGGAAGGGACCCTCCCTCGTTTCTCAGGCTGTAAAGGAGGCAGCTATAATGGTATGTGAGAAAGACCTTGGGAGTTGGGGCAGAAAAGGAGAGAAGAGAGGCTGCCTGGGGAGCAGTTAGATAAGTTGGCATAGCCCACAGCTGTAAAGGGGTGGAGAAAGATGCTCAGAAAGGACCCTCCCTAGTTTCTTAGGATGTAAAGGAGGCGGCTATAATGGTTTGTAGGAAAGACCTTGGGAGACAAGAGGAAAGAGACGCTGCCAAGGGAACGGCCAGATAAGGAACCGCTTATCGAGCAGCTGGACAATGAATGGCTCAGAAGGGACCCCTCCCTAGTTTCTCAAGTTGTAAAAGAGATATGGGGGGGGAGGAGGGAAACTACAGGTAGTCCTCGACTTACAACATTTAGCGACCTTTCAAAGTTGCAGCAGCACTGAAAAAAGTGACTTATGACCGTTTTTCCCTCTTACAACCCTGGCAGCATCCCCACCGTCACATAATCCAAATTCAGATGCTTGGCAACAGATTCATACTTATGACGGTCGTAGCGTCCTGGGGGGGGGTCGGTCACGTGATCCCCTTTTGCGACCTTCTGACAAGCGAAGTCAGGGGGCGGGGGGGGAGAAGCCAGATTCGCTTAACAATGTGTGACTAACCTAACAGCTGCAGCGATTCGCTTCACAACGGTGGCAAGAAAGGTCGTAAAAAGGGGGGGGGGAGAAACTCACTTAACAACCATCGTGCTTAGCAACAGAAATTGGAGTCATAAGTTGAGGACCCCCTGAGTTTTCAAACCTGCAAGATTCATCCATGTAGCTTTGTAATAAAGTAGAGAGCGTTCTGGAATCAAAAGTAAGAATCGATGCAGTAAATTCAGTTGTATATTGAAAGCTGCTTTTTAAAAAAATATTATTATTTAAATTTTGGTAGCCAACAAAATTCCCTCGCTCTCCCAGCAGTAGATGGATAGATACCCCTCTTGGCTGCAACCATGGCTCTTTGACTCTGACTCAAGCCAAGTTTAGTTATGACACTTCCTTTCCCAGGAAAACTTTCCATTCTGATCGCTCCAGTTTTGAAGTTTTAAGAAGCAAATGTACAACTTGCTTTTCTTCCTTGGTTTTTTTTTTTTTTTTGCAGGAGTGGCCGAGGCGGGAAGAAAAGAAAAAAAACCCAGGCCATGTGCATCGGGATATCTCATTCCCAAAAAATGTGGAATCCCACAGAATTTTGGCTCGTTGCTGTGTCTAGACTGGGAACTGTTACATGAAGCCGGTTTCTAAAAGTCTGTTTTGGAAAAGAGGTTTTATTTTTTTTCTGTTAGAAAACAGGCTTCTTCAGGAAGCAAATGAAGATTAAATGGCTTCTTCAGGACGCTTCCGCCCAGCATTGGTTTGAAATAGACGGCCAGCCAATCGCCAACAGCTTCCTGGGTAGAGCTATAAGTGGGAGGAGTTTTCCCCCCCCAAATTTTAATTTACTATTCTTCCAGGGTGTGGAGAAAGGGGGGAAAAAACCTGTTCCCAGTTTGGTTGAAGCCAAAAGTCTCCCAATCGAAAGCCAAAAGTCTTCTCCATCCTGGTTATTCGGTGTGAAGGTTCACCTATTATCTTTGGACATAACAGTGCATGTTACAGGATATATTTAGTTTGGAAACTATTTCTAGACTTTGTGTCCAAAGGCAGAGAAAAAAAATGAACTCTTGACTCTGGGATTTGCTGATTAGATTACTTTGTGGTTATAGAAAGGCTAGGATTTATCAAGTATGTAAAAGTAAAAAAGTGGAGGCTATAATTTTATTTTTTATTCTACTGCGCTGAAAAAAGTTAGAAGTCAATTCTTTCTTTCTTGTATCTTATACTTCTTTCTTTCTTCTCCTTTCCCATTTCCCCCTCTATCTATTTCATTCATGATTTATATCATATTTATATATGATCTTAATGGGAAAAAAACAAAAACAGATATGACAAGAGATGTTTCTAGGTTCCTGTCAGCATGTTGGGGTCATTGACCATTGTGGAGGCTAAGTCAGCAAACTATGTTAAAAAGCGACATGGTTAAGAGAAATGTATAAACCCAGTGACTCTTGTTCCCCTGCTCATGAATCCCATATTGACTGGAGTAAAATCATCGGAAGAAAATCTAAGCTTTTAACTTCAATTGTTACAATAACTTTCCAAGTTGTGGGAAAGGCTTTGACATCAATGTTACATTCTCCCAACCACATAAATAGTTTGGGTTCGTATTTACTTCAAACAAGAAAAGCAAAAAGAAACAGAAGAAAAAAAATAAATAAACTTCTTTCAACTGTGGAAACTGTTGCAAAGCCTTAAGGTACACAAGCCACATTGCTTCAGGTTTTACATTTTAACAGGTCAGCAAAGCACAGCTGGTGCTTAAAACGGACCATTTAAACCGCATGCAACATCCTACAAGTCTTGCGTTTTTCATTTCCACCTTTTAAAGAAAACGCAAGAAATCTCCTTTATTGGGACACATAACAAATCTTCAGGCCAGGTTCCTTCTTACCAGCAGCACATCAAAGGAGCTCTACAACGATTTCTCTGAATATGAAAGCTGGATGTTTTATCAGAATTTATAATTGTGTCTTTCTTGCAAGCGCAACAGTCTCCATTTTGCTGTTCTTCTAGGACGCTTAGGGCTGTGAGGGACCTTGGAGGTCTTCTAATCCAAACCCCCGTTCAAGGCAAGAAGCCTTATAGCAATAGCCCTTAGACTTATATACCGCTTCACAATGCTTCACAACCCTCTCTAAGCGGTTTACAGAGTCAGCCTCTTGCCCTCCAACAACCTGGGTCCTCATTTTACTGACCTCGGAAGGAGGGAAGGCTGAAAATCAACCTTGAGCCAGTGAGACTCGAACTGTTGGCAGCTGGCAGTCGGCAGAATTAGCCTGCAATACTGCATTCTAACCACTGTGCCACCATGGCTCCTATCATCCTTGTACCATCCCATTCAAATGGTTGTCCAGTCTCTTCTTGAACACCTCCAGTGATGGAGCACCCACAACTTCAGAAGGCAAGCTATTCCACTGATGAATTGTTCTCGCTGCTGGGGAAATTTCTCCTTAATTCTAGGTTGGATCTCTTGTTGATAATCTTCCATCTGTTACTTCTTATCCTGCCCTAGGTGCTTTGGAGAATAAGTTGACCCCCCATCTTCTCTGTGATAGCCCCTCAAGCACTGAAAGACAGCTATCAGGTCCCCCTAATCCTTTTCTTTAATAGGCTAGCTCCCTCAGCTTTCATCATACAGTTGAACTGTAATTTAATTTATACATTTTTTTTCCTTTAATATACATAAGCGCTTAACAAACAGTGTACTGCCTGAGTCAATTGTTTATACTAAATACTAATAGTAGTAGTATTAATAATAATAGCAGCTTCCTGCAATAACACCAGCAGAACTGCAAAATACTGCACTACTCAGAACGTCATACCTCTTAAGAAGGTACTCGGTCGATACCTAGGATGCTGGCAGCAACTTGTATCAACCGTCAGCACCAGTCAATGGTATTTCTCAGGGATCCCCAACCTTTTCGACGCCGCGGCCTGGTTCCGGCGTCAGCTGGGCGCCGCCATTTTTTTTTATGAAAAATCACTTCCGGTGATGTCACCGGAAGTGATTTTTCGTCAAAAAAAATGGCGGCGCCCAGCAACCAGCGGCCCGGTAAGGCTTGTTCCGCGGCCCGGTACCGGTCCGCGGACCGGCGGTTGGGGACCCCTGGTATTTCTGATGCATTTTTGAATGTTCAGTTGATTGAGTTTCATGTTTGATGAATAAAGTCTATAATAATGTTTACGTGTATGTTGTAATTTTTCATCACTTACTTATACACAGCAATCATCTTTTATCTTCTAATGTCTAACCCTTTTATCGAATCACTGGTAAAACAAATCCTATGCTTAAAAAAATATTCTGATTCTTCCTTGTCTTTTATTTTTGATGTCGATCCATCCATCTCCGTGCCTTCTAGTATTTTTCTAATTATATTTTCACCCTCCGTCAATTATCGTAGCTCTTCTCTTGCGCTCTTTCTAGAGCCTTGGCATCTTTTGTGTACAATCGGGTATTTTTATTCTGATTCCCAGCAGATTCGTGGACTGCTGTGCGAAGAGATGATGCGTCCTTTGATTCCTGCTCATCAGGGGGTTGTTAAGCCACCCTCAGCCTCCCGCGGTTGCTCTCCATGCCCTCAAGGGGTGGGAACCTGCGCTCTGTTCATCTCTGCATCAACTCCCAAGAAAATAAGCCCCTGTGTATTCCTGAAGCTCAGGGATGTTAAAACCGTACTTACTGTCAAACTCTTAGGATGCCTCCTTACTCGTCTGCAGGTTTCATCCTCATCTGGGCTTGCATTTGAGCGATCATCTCCTGCATACGACGCAACTGGATGTGGGGAGAGAGAAAAAAGAGAAAATGCGGTGTCCGGTTAGCAATAGCAGTAGCACTTAGATTTATATACCGCTTCACAATGCTTTCCAGCCCTCTCTAAACGGTTTACAGAGTCAGCCTCTTGCCCCTGACAATCTGGGTCCTCATTTGACCCACCTCGGAAGGATGGGAGGCTGAGTCAACCTTGAGCCAGTCAGGATCGAACTGCTGGCAGAGTGGCAGAGTCAGCCTACAGTGTTGCATTCTAACCACTGCACCACCAGGAAGTAGTATATGTGATGTAATGCAAACAATCTTCACGCATTGTAGTCCTTGACTTAAACGACGGTTACAAAATGACTTGAAAAATGTTACTTACGACTGGTCCTCAAAGTTACAACTGTCACACATCACCTCCACAGTCCCGTGGTCACTTGATCATGTTTTGCAATGTTTTTGGCCAAAAAGTGCCAAAATGGGATAAAACCAACTTATGACCATATGATTCGCTTTATAGCAATAGCCCTTAGACCTATATACTGCTTCACAGTGCTTTACGGCCCTCTCTAAGCAGTTTACAGTGTTTATGACAATGGTGACTTGCTTCATGACTATTATCAAAATGGTTGCAACATCGAATTTGTCATGTGGTGACTCAATTTACGTCTGCAATGACTTACAACCAAAATACCCGGCTCCATTATGATCCTAGAGGATTACCTGTATTAAAAAAAAAATCCTCTGGATTCTACAGAGTGGAGAACCCAAGAATTTCCATTCAGAAAACCACCAATAATGGGAAGACATTCCCACGATGCTGTTAACAGGCTACTTGGTATTTAAGGTATGTTTTAACTAGCCACTAATCTGGAGGCATATGGCCAAAACACACAAGCTGCTTGCAATTATTATTTTCTTCAATTCTCCCGTGGGAATCATTTTCTCCCGTGGGACCCCTTTGGGTATTGCAGAAGCCACATTCTTCAAGCATGACCCACTGCTCGCTCCAAGCTATTTATGGACAGCAATTTGTTTTCTGTTTTCCCGTCCATTCTGGCATTTACGGTAAACTGAACGAGAAAAGACTAAGAAGAATTTTTTAATAAAAATAACCGCGGCAGGAAGGGGGATGAAGAATTCGGCCAAGAGCATGTCTGTGTTACTATAAAAACATTTTTTTTAAAAAAAAAAAATCGACTTGCTAGCGGCTTCATAAATATGAATATATATGAGTCTCTCGCCGGCTCAAGCCTTCCAGATAGAATAGAATTGAATAACAGAGAATAACAGAGTTGGAGGTCTTCTAATCCAATCCCCTGCTTAGGCACTTCACACAAATGGTTATACAATCTCTTCTTAACCAGTGTTGGAGAATTCACAACTTCTGGAGGCAAGTTGTTTCACTTGATTAATTGTTCTGACTG